ATGCATTCTAAGTAATTCCAGTGGTCTTAAATTATTTTCCTTCTATTTTAAACTGAAGTGTTGGACGAGCTCTGTGAATATTATACAATATGGGACTCTTTCCAATAAGCTAACTATATATCTGTTGGAAGTGCAGTAGATCAGTTAGATTAGAGATAACAACTCTTTTGCTCTTTATTACATGCCTTATAAAGTTATATCAGTTAACTGGATGAGTAAGACGGCTTTACTGTGTAAAAGTCCATTAAAGTAGCTAAAAGGCAATTTGACATAAAGTAACATTAAGGAAATTTTTTCTGTTTTGAGCACTGATAATCATCTCACATGTACTTCTCAAGGGTAAACAAGTGTCGGATTAGTTGAATGCTGGAAAGAGAACATGCAAAACCTGCCCTATAGAAGTAACTAAATGGATGAGGATAATTAACAGATGCAGTGGTAAATGTTTAATCATAGAAAGGGATTCAAAACAAAAGAATGATCTAAAATGGGATGATCAGAGTCAACACCAACCTCCTGGTAATCTTCTTCAATCAACCTATTCCGCTGGTTGTGACTTCCACTCTACCACAACAAAATCCATCAAAAAGAAATATTAACCTCTACAAACAATTATTTGCAAATGGTCACAAATTGCAACATTGGGTTCAAATGCTACAATTCCCAAGTAGAACAAAAATGGGTAATTAGAAATTAGGTTGCAAAAATAAAAACAGATGCTATGGAGAAACCCAATAAATCGAACAATATGGTAAAGGAAACAAACCTTGGAAAATTGGATGCTTGTATTCTGGAAAACAACCGCAAGAGACTTTGAAAACCTGATTCAAATTTATACGAGTAGAGGATGTGAAGTATCTCCATCTAAATCGGTTGAGCAGGTGAAATCGGTAGKACGATAAGCACGAAGCAGTTGAAATCGAGAAGGATATGGAAGTGGAATTGAGGATATGGACATGGAATTGAGGATATGGATCAAAGAGATGAGGGATATGAACGAATACATAGGAGGGATATGGACGTCGAATTGAGGAAGGGATGGATGGCTTTGATATGTTGTACTTAAAGCAATGAAAGTTGTTTTTAAGAGTTTAAGAGATTAAGAGTTTAAGAGTTTTAGCCAAATGCGGCGGGATGGCTAACAATAACAAAGATATAGTATTCAACAAAAACTACTGATATGATTCTAATAGAAAAACAGCAGGTGATCGTGTATCTAATTGTAATTTATAGGGACTGATGTTATATCTTA